TTTTGCATGAAGAAAGCTATATTTTTGTGAGCAGCTTGTCCCAAGACTCCAGCACCATGACATGCATGAGGGTAGCAGTACCAGTCCAGAAGCATTGATGGGACTCACATGCCCATTGATGGGACTCACATGCGCATGATTTGGTCTCCTCAAGGAGGACATGAGTACATAAACTGCAAAGAGTACTGCTCCATTACTAGGCAGACCCTTGTGGACCTCTGAAGATGATTTATGGATGCCAGCATGGGCTGCACTGGAAAAGTTCATAATGCCAGGGTTTCTCAATGATTGGGAGTCTACATTCAAGGACAGGCTGGGACAATATTCCCACCAAATGATTGTCATAAATGGAGTCACTGTCTACACTGTTACCCTGGTGGACCCTATGTATCCCCTTTTGCCTTGGCTTATGAAATCATATTCTGATCTCAGAGGGCCTGGCAAAAGACAATTCAATTACACTCTCAGCAGGCACAGAACAGTGGTTGAATGTTCATTTGGCAGACTTAAATCCCACTAGTGCTGTTTGCAAACATGTTTGGATGCCTGTGTTATCTGTATTTTTGTAGCTTGCTGTGTTCTTCATAATCTGGGTGAAGCCAAAGTTGTGCCATTTGCCCCTGAATGGACCTTCGCAGTAATGGATTGCTGTACCAGTACACGCAAACAGAAAGTGCACTTATTGCAGTTGGGACAGAATGTAACCTAGCAACACAAATCAGGGAATCTATGTTCCCACATTCTGGATTTGCATGATCGAATGGAAAGGGACAATAGTAGGTTTATGAATGTTCTTGTACAGTCTTTACAGTAAAAGAAGTACTGTCACATCACACATGAAATACGTGTGTGTGTGCGGCGTGGGATTGCCATACATTGTAGTTATGAATGACATGACTGCTTATGAACTGGCAAGTACTGTGGATTTAGTGTATGGCTCAGTGTAGACAAATGTATTGAGAAATAGTGTTTGCATGCAGCTTCCCAGCTGTTCCTTAGCATTTGTACACAATAAATTCCCAGAGATGTGGTTCTTATCCCTGGCTTTTCAGTAGTCAGGCTTGAGTCACTTAATCTGCTCCCTGCACCAGTTTGTGGTCTGGTGAACAGTGCTGCCAGCTTCTTTGCTATTAGCTGGAATATGTGGCTTATTCTGGAACTCTTGCTGAAGTTGAACTGTTTGCTCGTCTTGCCTCAGAGATTAACCAAAATCTGGCTGTGCTCCCATGACTAGCTAGCGGCATGTTTGGCAGATGATTCCTTTGTTTTGGCAGCCATTACAAATGCAGGAGAAGGTTCACTCTGCTTGCAGCTCAATGGTCAGAACAAAATGGAAGGGTTAAACGTCAAGCAGCTGTACTTGAACCAGGTGCATTGCTTCCATTTCCTGGGAGTCGATTAGCCAGTCTTGAGATAGAAAGGTCAAAGGATGTTGTCCCAGAGGATTGTGGGATACCATTTGTGGACTCTCAGGACCTGAGTCTGGGAGTCTTGGACCTGAGCTGTGCCCACACTGCACTATGATGGATTTTGGGCCTGAGCCCATTTGGGACTCAGGCTCAAACCCTCTACTTCTGCAGGATCCTGGGACCTGGGTCTATGTTAGATAGAATTGTGTGTAGATAGAAGGGTTTGAGTCTGAGTCTGGACTTACATTGCAATGTAGATATACCTTGAAAGTCTGGGAAGTGGGGCCATTCCACCTCCAGAGATATGGGGTACTAGGGGAACATCCACCACCTGCTCATTCCTCTGAAGCTTAAGCTTCTGATGCAGTCCAAACCACAGTTATCAGTAGATCTCCTAAGGCACCCAAGTCCCAGTGTGGGAATCCATAATGGGCAGGTCATTTAGCCAGTTGCAAATATTAACTATGTGTGTGCATGTAGCTGGAGCATGAGAGCAGTGATGTTCAATTCCCTACTAGTCTTTGGGTCTCCCACTATAAGTGCAATATTTTTAAATAACTATTTGAGTAATCTTTTCATATACTGGCAGGTACTATGCTATTGCCTTCAGGAATATGGAATGATTGAGTCCTGTCAAGGTTAATGTTCTTTCAGTGTATCATAGAATCATAGAACATCAGGGTTGGAAGGGACCTCAGGAGGTCATCTAGTCCAACCCCCTGCTCAAAGCAGGACCAATCCCCAATTAAATCATCCCAGCCATGGCTTTGTCAAGCCTGACCTTAAAAACTTCTAAGGAAGGAGATTCTACCACCTCCCTAGGTAACGCATTCCAGTGTTTCACCACCCTCCTAGTGAAAAAGTTTTTCCTAATATCCAACCTAAACCTCCCCCACTGCAACTTGAGTCCATTACTCCTTGTCCTGTCATCTTCTACCACTGAGAATAGTCTAGAACCATCCTCTTTGGAACCACCTCTCAGGTAGTTGAAAGCAGCTATCAAATCCCCCCTCATTCTTCTCTTCTGCAGACTAAACAATCCCAGTTCCCTCAGCCTCTCCTCATAAGTCATGTGTTCCAGTTCCCTAATCATTTTTGTTGCCCTTCGCTGGACTCTTTCCAATTTATCCACATCCTTCTTGTAGTGTGGGGCCCAAAACTGGACACAGTACTCCAGATGTGGCCTCACCAATGTCGAATAGAGGGGAACGATCACGTCCCTCGATCTGCTGGCTATGCCCCTACGTACACATCCCAAAATGCCATTGGCCTTCTTGGCAACAAGGGCACACTGTTGACTCATGTATGAAGTTTTGCTGCTGCATGTAAAATTATCATGAAAGTAAGATGGAAATTCATTTGCAACCTCTTGCACGAGATTCCTGTTCTGCCACAGTGCAAGTAATGGACCGAAATATGCTGTAAATAACAACCCCATTGATTTTGCAAAATGTGGCCCACTGTCATGTATGGCCCTGTCTCTTGGCAGCTCTCTCTGGAATACTAATGTAGTCCAAATTAGGAAAGACATGTTTCTGTAATAAACGTAGTGGGTTCTGTTCAATATGTAAGTCAGTGACGCATCAAATAGTAATCTCAAACGGGTTTATTAAGTCAGATTTCTCTAACTACAAATAGAACAGCATGTAACAGAAAGGTGGTACTCACCAACCAGTTGGGGGGGGGGCGTGTCAGTCTGCATCTCACCCTTTCCCAGAATGATTTACATTTCCATCGGTTTTATAGATTCATTATCAAATGAGTTATGCCCTATATTTCTATCATAATAACTTTAACCTCCTTAACAATAAAGCATAGCATGAGTTAAAACAACTCTTAACCAGTCATTTCACTGTGTCCTTTGTGGTTTGGAATGTTTTAATAAATTGGCCAATCATATGGTAATGTCATGTTGTGGTTATACACAAGGTAAATAATATTCTTCTTAAATGCTTCCATCCTACATGCCCTTTCTTGTGGTTTCGGTTACAATTTCATAACTTCTTGTTCACACAGCATAGACAAATACAAGGCACAAAGCAACCTTAAGCAGTTGTAAAAATAGGTCATACTCTTAAGCTTATTTCTACTCTATAAGCAATTTAACTTGTAGCTGTTAGTAATATCTATTGTTTCTCTGACATAACTTTTGCAAGGCCTCATGGTACTCTTGCCTACATATTAACAATCTCTTACCATAACTAGGAGGGATGTTTGGAGCTTGTAGGTTAAATGCTAACATTTCTGAATTAACTTATTTAACTTTAAATGGTTTGTGACAATATTTAAATTCTGATGGGATATTCAGGGTTACATTAGGGATCAGCAAATAAAAATACTTCTGGAAGAAAAATTCGTGAAACAAGTCATTGTGAATGTTTTCAGTGTTGACTATATTGATTCAATCTGAGTAGCTGATAGCGCTCTTCTTTTGCACAACTTCTCTATTACTCTCCCTTATCTGGCTGCCACCCTATCTGCTGAGTCCTCTGAGATTGCACTTAGTACAATCTTCCTTTAATAGTTATTGAGTGAATTTAATACCAATGAAATATGCTGACTTGATATCCCTGGAGGATGAAGTCCTCTTCCCTTCCACAGAAAGGGTGTAGCAAAACAACCCGTGTTTCCTAGCCCTGATGTGTATGAACCACCTCTAGAACTGAGAGAATTATCTTGTTTCCATGCCGTTGGCTTTTCTGTGAAGACTATTAAGGAGGATGCTGACTGGGCTGGATTTTGCACTGTGAACACTTATCTAGTAGGAACTGGAATAAGGTAATTTCACACAGGCAACCAAGCAGCCATGAGGTGGTTCCAACCTTTGAACACTACTGACTTGGGTCCTTTCAAATTTGGGACCTAGATGTGAAAAGCTTGGTATCCTTATTACCAGTCTCCTGAGCTACCGCCTTGCCAATCCTTTTGAAATAACAATTTTGATTGTATATGATTTCTTTTGACAAAATTATTCTCACTTAATGTAGTTATGCAAATAAAAATGAAAATGTATTGTTTTCAATGCTTTGAGGTTTCAAAGTGCCACAAATTCTTCCAGCCTCTCAAATGTACAGGGTATGACTATGCTATAGCCATACAATAAAAATAACTGTCTCCACATCAGCTGTTACGCTTGTTGATATTTTATACTGAATATATAATACCTAGATTGTGTTTTGACTAATTACTGAGGAAAAACTAAGCCATGCTGGCAATATCTTTGCTCACTCTGGTCTGAATACCTACTCAACCATTCCTCAGATCACTAGATCTAACCAGACAAGCACATTGGGCTGCTTAATTTCAAAAACAGTTTTAAATCTCTTCAGATAGGATTTGTACATTAGGATGTGCAGAAGAGATTGGAATCAATGCTGGAATATTAGGGGGACCGCGTATATTGATAAAGATGTTGGACAAAATTCATTCTTGATGCAACTCCATGGACGTCAATGACATTCCACCAGGAACTGACATGGCTCATTATCTAATATAGAAAATTACCCCTTTTTAATTATCTGAAATGTTGCATATCTGCTTATTTCACTTACATTTTCTTTAAACTCCCATCTGTTTTGTCTTGCGTTCCAGCTCTCCTTGTCAGAATGGGGGAACATGTGTTGATGACAATGGATTTGCGCCTCATGCCTCCTGTTCGTGCCTTCCGAGTTTTGCTGGCAATTTTTGCGAAATAGATGTCGATGACTGTGAACCTAACCCATGTGAAAATGGAGGAACGTGCACGGATATTGGTGGAGGTTTCAACTGTCATTGCCCTATTGGCTATATGGGCAAATCCTGCAGCAGCCGTGTCATATTCTGTGCTAGCAGCCCATGTGAGAATGGAGGAACATGTCATGAGCATCCTGAAGGAGGATTTGAATGCGTATGTAAGCCGGAATTTGTTGGTGTAACCTGCACATATCTCAGCAGAAACACAAGTCTCCATGGTGTGAATACAGAGGCCAAACACGGGCACAGTTATAATCTACCCCCAAATGCTCGTCCGAAGTCAGTGTCTCACCAAGAACATAAAGTCTTGAAGATAACAATGAAAGAAACAATCCAAAACACAGACCCCTTGCTTAATAAAAGTCAGGTCATATGTTTCATTGTTCTGGGCTTGCTTACATGTCTTGTTGTGTTGGGTACAACTGCGATTGTATTTTTTTCCAAATGTGAAATGTGGCTTGCTAATGCCAAATATAGCCATCTACTACGCAAGAAAAAGAATTGTTTTCTTCAGTCTAACAATGGGGAAAACCTTTCAGTTAACATAATTTTCCCAGAGAAGATCAAACTCACTAACTACACCAAGAACTATACCGCCATCTAGACTCCTTGAAAGCCTTGCAGCAACTTCTAGAGTTTTGTAGCAATATGTAAAGTTTTTTGAACTTGTTACCTGTGCCTGGCTTTGATGTTTTGTACATACATTTGCTGTAATTTGTGCTGGGAAGTACAGAAGAAATATGTTGTATCTGTGTTGCCAAGTGAATTTCTCATTCCCAAAATAAAACTTTAACATAATCAGATTACAGAGCAAGGAATGTTCATTTGATTTTTTTTTAATGCAGCTATATTTTGTAAAATAAAAGAAATTTGCCACAAGAGCAGTTTTCAGCTTTATTGGATTGTGTAAGCTTGTTTGGCAAATATGGTCTTCATAAATTACTTGCCAATGCTCATTTTTTAATAAACAGTAATTGAGGGCTGTACAGGCTTATTTACTAGTTTTGTGAATTCTAGCATGCTATGGTAAATGTACCACAGGCATTAATATGTAGTACTTCCTCTCACTGTGAGAGTCTTTAGAAACTGATCACAATCTGGCCCATTATTTTGAAACTTTCATCTATTGTACAAATGGTGCCAGTGTATTAAATAAATAGAGGAGGGGGGAAAAACCCTCAAATTGTTATGTTTCAGAGTAGCAGCCATGTTAGTCTGGATCCTCAAAAAGAAAAGGAGGACTTGTAGCACCTTGGAGACTAACAAATTTATTTGAGCATTAATTTTCGTGAGCTACAGCTCACTTCATCAGATGCATTCAGTGGAAAATACAGTGGGGAGATTTATATACACAGAGAACATGAAACAATGGATGTTACCATACACACTGTAACAAGAGTGATCAGATAAGGTGAGCTATTACCAGCAGGAGAGCTGGGGGGGAAAAGCCTTAAGAATGTCTGAGGAACAGCGGGCGGGCGGGGGGGAGAATAAACATAGGGAAATATTTTTACTTTGTGTAATGACCCATCCACTCCCAGTCTTTATTCAAGCCTAAATTAATTGTATCCAATTTGCAAATTAATTCCAATTCAGCAGTCTCTCATTGGAGTCTGTTTTTGAAGTTTTTTTGTTGAAGAATTGCCACTTGTAGGTCTGTAATCAAGTGACCAAAGAGATTGAAGTGTTCGCCGACTGGTTTTTGAATGTTATAATTCTTGACGTCTGATTTGTGTCCATTTATCCTTTTACGTAGAAACTGTCCAGTTTGGCCAATGTACATGGCAGAGGGGCATTGCTGGCACATGATGGCATATATCACATTGGTGGATGTGCAGGTGAACGAGCCTCTGATAGTGTGGCTGATGTGATTGGGCCCTATGATGGTGTCCCCATAATAGATATGTGGACAGAGTTGGCAACGGGCTTTGTTGCAAGGATAGGTTCCTGGGTTAGTGGTTCTGTTGTGTGGTGTGTGGTTGCTGGTGAGCATTTGCTTCAGGTTGGGGGGCTGTCTGTAAGCAAGGACTGGCCTGTCTCCCAAGATCTGTGAGAGTGATGGGTCATCCTTCAGGATAGGGTGTAGATCCTTGATGATGCATTGGAGAGGTTTTAGTTGGGGGCTGAAGGTGATGCCTAGTGGCGTTCTGTTATTTTCTTTGTTGGGCCTGTCCTGTAGTAGGTAACTTCTGGGTACTCTTCTGGCTCTGTCAATCTGTTTCTTCACTTCAGCAGGTGGGTATTGTAGGTTCTTGTCAACTGCTGGAAATGGCCCACATTGATTATCATTACAAAAGTTTCCCCCCCACCTCCTGCTGGTAATAGCTCACCTTACCTGATCATTCTCGTTACAGTGTGTATGGTAAAACCCATTGTTTCCTGTTCTCTGTGTATATAAATCTCCCCACTGTATTTTCCACTGAATGCATCCAGTGAAGTGAGCTGTAGCTCACGAAAGCTTATGCTCAAATAAATTTGTTAGTCTCTAAGGTGCCACAAGTCCTCCTTTTCAAATTATGTGCAGATGAAAATTTTGCTTTTGTGCTTAAGACCACCATTTGACCATTCATGGACAGACAACCTTTACACAGTGCTCTGTCGTCCACTGTAGTGCCACCCTATATAAAAAGGACAAACTTTGACTGGTGCCATACCTGCCAACAGCAAATTACTTCATCAGTCCACAGCCCAGAGTTCTCTGGAGGCAAAGCAATGTAGCCAGTGGGTCAAGCTGGTCTCAACAGCTTTATAAGCCATACTCTGCCTGTAGAGACTACCGCTATGCTGCCACCCACTGGTTTAATGCATGGGAGACATGATTGGATCTATAAGGTGCTGGCCAGCTTTAGAATGAAAGGGGGAGTGTACTCAGGGATAGGGCCCTCTTCCCCATGGCTGTGCTACTGTCCATTGGCCAGCCAGATATATGTGAGCTGATTGGCTCTTGCTTCTCACAATTATTACTTTAAATTTCCTGGGGCTTCTCAAGCCTCCGGCCCCACTTTATTGGAACTCACCTTTCTTCCTCTATTTATATATTATGATTACCATTTTTTTAGGTGGTTGTGCGTCTGCCTGATCACCTGCTCATTGTGTCAGGAAAGAATTTTTCCTATCAGGCCAAATTGGCTGATGCCTGATAGGTTTTCTTCCCCTTTACCCATTGCATCATGGAGACACAGTTAGGTTAAATAGGAATAGGAGTTAGAAATTTAATATTAGAAACTGTATGAATGTTTACTTGGTCTCAACTTGCAGCCAGTGTCCTGTGCAGATCAAAAGGTGGGAAAATGGGAGAGCTGAAGTCTTTGCAGACCAAGGTCCCTCACTGGTATCTTTTGTCTCCTTCATGCAGGGGTGGGGAGAGTGTGTGTGTGTGAGAGATTTCCACAGAGCAAGCTTAAGTTTAAGTTAGTTGTAGTTTGCGGCTTAAACTTTATCCCTGTGTCTGTCCTTGTTCATTTGCATGTCTTGAACAAGGAGCCTCTGCTACACTAGTTTCAGGCTAAAGGTCTCCCTAGTTTAATGCCTGTGGTTATCCCCCTTGTTTTGGGTATACAGTCTATTTGTGTAACTCTCCACTGGATGCTCGATCCAATGACAGTAACATATGGCTTTCATCAGCCAAATGTATGAGAACTTGCTCAGCATCTTTGTCAGCCCTTCTCTCTATAGACACCACCCAGACCTAAGTGAATCTTTTACTGGCTTCTCTTTAAATACTCCACTCAGTGCTTGAACGAAGCCTACAGGAGCTAAACTTTCTGTGTTCAGCCATAGTGCTTACCATACATTCAAATATGCCTTTAAATCTGTATTTCAATAAGCCACAGAGATTGAAGAGATGGCCTTATGTGACCTGGAGGACAGCAGCTTTGCATCGAGCAATTTTTATTCCCCATACAAGCTTCTTTGCTCTTTTTCTTCATCCAGTAAGGGATCAGATTTTCCAGGATCAAAAGCAACATGGTAAATGTGTACAGGGTTGTGAAGGATGAGAGATTACTTTTTTAACTGATTTCCTAAGGATGTCTTTAGGAGCCATTACCTAACAATTTATTTCCCCTCCACCCCCAGATAACAATTGTTTAACTTCTTCCAAGCAGTCTAATAATTACCCTGTTCACAAATCTACTAACTCTACTAGACTCAGAATGCCTGTTTAAAAATACAGTTCCTTATTCATATATTTAAATAAAAGTTAGCTTGCTACCACAGGATTTTTCTGTTGGGATCATGCCTGTTAATTGCTCTGAAGTGCATAACAGGCATTCAGCTATTCCCAATATTTACGTATACTTTGGCATTACTCTAGTGCAAAGATTAGAAAAGATAGGAAAATCAGGGGAGTGCTTCTGCAGAAAATTTTGATTTTGTCAATAGATTGAAAATGTCAAGGCCAGCAACTTTCCTCAAATAGTTTTGCTTGGTCAAAAACCCTATTTTCAGTTGAAAAAAGTTGCTGTGGAAATTTTTTGACAAACCTTAGCAAAGATGGCAAGAAGCAGATGACATTAGAGGTGCAAACAAAGCACCAAAGCATGACTAAAGTGATAAAAGAGCAAGTGGTTGACAATTTATTTTTAAACATTATACAATATAGTATACTCCAATATGTGATCTACTCAGTAACACAAATGCATTAACAGGAAATCAGTTTGTGGCATTAAATGGAGATGGGCCTCAGCAAAGGTGTTGGATTTAGAACTAAATCTCCACCCAGCTGAGAGGGTTTGGATCCAGTAAAACGGTTTAGATCCATCTTATAAAGCTGGGTCTAAACTGAGAATTTCTGGTTGGAATCTAGAGTCAAGCCATGTTTGAGGGACTTCAGCTTTGGTATTCAAGTTCCAATTCTAGCATTAAACCTAGCAGACTGCTCTAATGAGCCAGAAGCGAAGAAGAGATTTATATCTGTTCTTGCATTCTTGGCAATAGAATTAACAGGTAGTGGTGGGGTTTGGTATGTGAAGCATGTTTTCTGATTAGAGCTGCTGTCTGCATGTGGCAGTGCATCTGTTTCCCATCGTATCTTTCTTTCTCATTACATTTGTTGCCAGAATTTCCTCTTAATAAATCTAACTGCTGTCAAAAGTCATTTTTTCACTGTTTGAAAGTTCTTTTCTTTCCACTCCAAATAACAAAAGGGGGTGGGGTTTTCTCTGTGATAGATTTCACAAGGAAATTTAGTTCTGTCTTTGAATTTCAAGTTCCTTAGTTGTTCCGCAGGCTGAGCTCTCCTGTCCAGGAGCACTTGGTATATTAGCTCTAAGTGTGATGCCTGCGTGAAGGGGGTTTGTGACACTAGTGAGCTTGATCAGTTAGGCATATACCACAGTAATTTGCAAAAAGAAAACAGAACCAGAAAACCTATCTCACACTGCTTTTATGCTAGTGAATGTCCATTCGCCTCAATGGAATCATGTCTCATTAATACCTGTGTAAAAGATCAGGCCCTCCATTTAATCACACATGGACTGAGTTTTTATATTTCTTTTCTGCTCCTGAGATAGTTAGAAATACTTATTCTCCAAGTGGAAATGGAAAAGTGGGGGGAGGGGGGGAGGTGGCCGTAACTGATGTAGCACTTTCTTTCGGCAAATGTCCTTCCAAGATACATGTGGAAGGAAAGTATATAGGGCAATACAGCATATCAGACCAATTGGGTACATTCTCCTTGTTGAAGCATGGGGCTGATTATAGAGGCATTTCTCTTATCTTTCAACACTTCTTGTCCTTTGAATTCACTCTCCTTTTGTATATTTTCGATAAAGTACTAGCAGGTACAGTGCAAGTGACAAAT